AGCAGCTCTCCAGTTAACATTTCCTGTCCCATGTAATAGCCAGGAGACCCCAGGTGGAGTTCACACAGAAGATAAGATACTGTTATCCTTCTGGAACCAGGACTTTTCAAAATACTGATTTTTTAGTTAGTACTTGGAATTTAAATAAAGTTTTAATTTATTGTATATTATTACCAACCAAGAATTACATTACTGAACTAGTTTGGGGTCTGAAAGTATGACCTGATTTGAAGGGTGGTCACAATTTGACAGAACACTACTAATTGTAGAAACTCCATGGGAGGCTCTGAGCTTATACTTTTGCTGAGAGCACTAAGTACTGAAGAGGGATTTTTTTTCCCTATTCTTCTCTGACACTAATGGGGAAGGAGATAGAAGTGATTAAGGATAGAGGGAGGAAATGGAAAACTTTTCCCAAAGAGATGGTAGTTTTCCTCCCTTTAATTTTGTTGTATCCTCTCAGTAAACCATATATGATAAATAATGTCCTAGGTAAGCCAATTTACATACAATGAATAATCTTAGTGGTTTTTGTCTTTGTGGTTTTAGATTTAAATAGGAAACTTTTTGCAACATTTCTGTTTCTTTAAGACTACCCTTTAAGTTCAGATATTTTGTCATTGTCCAGACTTTTTTGCTATAAGTGTCTAGTTGATTCAGCAAGTGAGTTGCTATCATTGTCAAGACTCTTACTGGAAACTCACAAAAAATTTTTAATACATATTTATATATGAAATGTATGAACATATAAATACATATGATTGTCACATTTTTGCAAAAGAGTAAAAAGTGACAAGCCACGGAAATAATTACTGGTTTTATTTATTTATTTATTTTTAATAGAGGCATGTTTTTATTTATTTATTTGTTTTGTTTATATATGCACTGGGTACAGTCAGAAGTGCGGGAGGGTGAGAGAATTCACCAGAGCCAGAGCAGGGAGCAGAGCAGGCAGAAGGACTGAAGTACACTGCTGAGGGGAGCAGCGGGCGGCAGGAGAGGTCTGCGCGCCATATGGGACCCTCCTCTGGTGGCCGGGGAGCAGCCAAGGATCAAACTGGCGCCGCAGAGGTCGCGGGCAGCTTCGCAACCCAGCGCTCAACCGCTGCGCCACCGGGGAGGCCCAATAATTACTGGTTTTAGTCAGTATATTTTCACACATGCAACACACTGGATTGGGAGCTCTAGAAACCCCACAAACTGCATTAGAAGTTCTCAGTTTTTTAAGTGAAATTCAAGTCCACAAAGGTTTTAAATTTTCAGTAATTTTGGTTGGTTATTTTCAAGTGCCATCATCAGTTGCTTGCTTCTTTTATACATTCCTTATATCCAACTGACAGATGCTTTGGGGAAGAAAATAACCAGTGTACTTAACTGTCTGAGGTTATGATTTTTCCCTAGATTTTGGCAGCTTTCCTTATGTAGATTGATGGTCAAGGGGACATAGGTCCCCTTTTATAGTTTAGTGTAAGGTCTAGTTCCCTGTATGCTCATACAACAGACTTTATACTTTGGTCCTTTAAAACACTTAAATTGGGCCTCCCTGGTGGCGCAAGGGGTTAAGTCTCAGCTCTATGAAGCTCGGCAGCTAACCCATATGGTGCAGCAGATCTCTCCTCCCCTCAGCAGTGTATTTCAGACAGTCCGCCTGTTCCGCTCCCCACTCTGTCTCTGGTGAATCTTCTCACACACACCCCCCCACACACACACCTGACCTACACCCCAGCTCTTGTATGCATAAATAAATAAAATAAATCTTTAAAAAACATAAAAATAAAACAATTGGTTTGGGTGAAATGTAAAATCTATTCACCTGTCTGACTCCCTTGTTATATCTGTTAAGATGGACAGCTTGACATTTACACATCACACCTAGGCTTTTTGTTCAGCTAGGCTTTTCTTTGCTCTTTCACTCCTTTGACAAAACAAATGCTGTGATTTCTAGCATTTCTCTCCTCCAACCCAGTTTTTAAACTGTTTATTTCTATTCTGAGATTCTAAATGTGCTATTCTTTTGAGAGTGTCCCTTATCTGTTGGATTCTTAATGTTATAGGAGACTGACTGACCCTACCCTCACATAAAAAGACTTTGGATTGTTGTCCCTAGAAAAGAAGTGGAGAATAGTCAAGGCAAAGAAAACTGAGACAACTAGGGAAAGAAAAGGAAACCTTGAATGTTAAGTCATAAGGAGAGGACAGGTGGTCAGAGCAGCTGAGAGAAAGTTAAGGCTGCCTTGTATAGCAGGCCCTTGGTTTAAGCCTTATTGCCTACCTCTTTTTTTCCTTATGTATCTTGTGGGGAATATCTGGAGAGTGTTTCTGATCAAGAAATTTTAAAAGCAATTTATGGGCAGTTTTCTGTGAGTAACTTTGAATTCTACTTCTTAATTTCCCCATAACATTTGCATTTCTTTATTCCCATAATTGTTTTTATCATCACTTAACTCTGTAACTCTTTTCTAAAATTGAGTGACTTGTGATTAATTTCTGTGCTTTTTTTCCCCTAAAAGCATGTTGAATTTAATTATACTGAGATAACTCTTTGTGACCTGCCTAAAGAGAAACACTGCTACTTCATGAAATAACATTTTCATTTTGTAGGGTTTTAAAGAAATGTTGCTTTATAAATTGTAAGATGGATTTTAAAACATTACTCTGAATCAGTACTTCCCCAACTTTTACTTGGAAAAAATTTCCATTTTCATATACTGAGCAGTACCTGGCTGCCCAGTAAAGTCTGCATTTAAGTCCTTTATACTGATAGGTTTAATTCTGGTTAAAATAGGGGGCCTCCTTGGTGGCACAAGGGTAAAGACACAGTGCTATCAAGCTATCACCAGCCACTGCAACACGAGTTCGATCCCTGGCCAGAGAGCTGACCCACATGGCACAGCAGTTCTCTCCTGTCTCCCCATTGCTCCCCTCAGTGTTGTGTTTCAGTCAGTCTGCCTGTTCTGCTCCCCACTCTGTCTCTGGTGAATCCTCTCATTCCCTGCACTTCTGGCCTACACCCCAGTTCCTATATGCATAGAATAAATAAATCTTAAAACAAATATAGGGATAAAATCAGAAGTCATTTATTTTCAGTAAGTAATAAAATCATACAATAACCAATGGGATTCTTTAAATTTGTTAATTCATTTTTAAAGGAATCCTTGAATTAAAACATCTGATTTGGTTATTGACACACCTCACAGTTTATCCTCGATCTTGGTAACTTTCTGTAGGAAGAGGCAGTTGATCAATTCCAGTGTACATAGGCGAAATCAGAGCAGACTTAATCAGTAGCACTTACCAATCTCTGCTAGGGTTCCCACCCTCTGCTTTCTGGCATTCAGGGCATGGTGAGCTATATACTGTGTGCTGATGGCACAGTCTTCTCCTCTTATTGCAGCCTGGTTTTGCTTCCTGTAATAGGATGGAAGAGAGTCCCTGCCACTTCTAACTCTAAAGTAATAGATCACATGAGTGAGGGTCTCTGGCAAAATAGAAAAAGTAGTTCATTGCAATTACAGCTCTAGATTTTTGAATGATTATCCCTAGATACACACAGAAGACACACTTTCTTTCTTCTTAGTCAGATGCAGAGAGGCATCAGCTACTGCTCCTCACATAGAACCTTTACACTTGCTGCCTTTCTTTTCTTTTTCCCCCTATTTTAAAGTAACTATGTTTAGGAATTTGTTCATTTACCTCTTTACAGGCTGAACATAGCTTCCTTTTTTCAATGTACCCTGTGTTGTGAACTGAGCTTGAGTGAAGTGAAATCTTTGAGGTAAGGCAACCCTAATGATAAAAATGGAAAGCAGGCATATGAAATTTGGGAGCCTTCAGAGATGCAGTTTTAGAGTTACAGCCTAAATATTGAAATGCCACCATTTGTTGTTTGGAGGGATGTGGAGCTAAATTGAGAACAGGAGCACCACATCTGTCCTGACTGCTAAGTATATCACTCTCTACTGCTCACCCATAATAGAATTTTTATGTGTGCATTCATTAATCTTGGTTTTAGCAACAGTTTAAAGGACAGAGAATGCAGAAAATTTGTCTACATTTCTTCTGGCCTTACCATATTTGACTGTTTTTCTCTGGTGGGCCGTGGTTCTTTTTCATTATCAGTGTGGTGGCTTTTGTTTTTCTTTTGTTTCTTTTTTTCCTTTAGGAAGGGTAAACAGACCTGAAAATGTTATTTCTTAGTACCCTGTCCAGAGTACTAAGGGATATTATTACCTGTCTTCTACCCCCGGGAAATTAAGACTCAGAGTTAGACTTTGCAGGTGCCACCTAATGAATATCTCCAGAGCAGAAATTTTTGAAGTCCTTCACTCTGATGAAGAATGACTAGGTAGCACACTTTGTGTCCATCACCATCAAGAAGCAAGGTCTGGCCAGTGCAGGTAATGCATAGTATTTGAGCAGTAAGTTTATGATGGCCAGCTTTGCTGTCAGCATGCCTGAGTGACTTTTATGAGGTTAGTTTGGACCCAAACACTGTACTCATTGCTGTCATTGGCACATGGAACCTTAAGTTCACACCACAGCTAATAACCCAGTTCTTTTTTCCAGAAACATTTCCACACCCTGTGAATTGAGGGCTTTTTTTTTTTTGGTTTTTTGTTTGTTTGTTTGTTTGTTTTGTTTTAACTTGAGGTAGTTCCAGGCTTTGGAGGCCCTCAAAAACTGATCTGCAGGAAGAGTTTTGAAGATGTGGAACAAGTTTCTGTTTCTTCTGCTCTGTTAGCCACTGCTATCTTCATGGATCTGACACTCTATTTATCTGACAGTGCACTTAGTACTGCTTCGCCAGGGAAAATCACACAAAACAAGCCTGGTGCATCAGCACTTTCATTGTGTGCCGGGCTGAGCCTCCTTTCACATGGTCACATCCCCCTTTTAATCCAATACTCCCTTTCCCTACCCCAGTCCTGCCTGTATTTGTGGCACTTATTGCTGGTTTCCCTGAGCTCCTGTTTCCACTTTGTGTTTTTTGTGGGGCCCAGGAAGCTAAAGCTGTGTATATTTGTGGATCAGACAAGTGCAGCAAGTTTATATCATTGGCTTCTGAAGGGGACAGTGAGGTGATGGCTGCGTTTAAGTTGGATTTCCTTCCAGAAATGATGGTGGATCATTGCTCTTTGAATTCCAGTCCTGTGTAAGTATTTTTGTTGTCTCATTTTTATCATAAGCAGAGAAACTGGGAGGTTTTCTTTGTTATTTGATGAAACTTGTTCCTTAAAAGAGGGAAGAAAAAATTGGATAAGGTGTCCAAAGTTCACACTGTTATTTATTTTCTCTTGTAGTCTTGATTTTATCTCATTATTGCTTATCTCCTCAAAGCTATATAACTAATTCTGTACATAAGGGTGCATTTGAAATATGACCGGTAATATCAACTCAAGTGTACTGGCTCTAGTCCCTCAGGTTATATTGTTTTCACATATGATAGATTCTAAGATAATTTTTTTAAACAGTAGTTTTATTGCTTTGGGTTGGTTATAGAATTTCAGATTATATTTTGGGAAATTTTTGTTTTATTTTTGTTTTTAATGATCAAAATGTTAGACTTTTATCATAGAGGAAACTGGTAGGTAGGGTGTACAAAATGCTGTATTGACATATAAACGGTAATCCTGAACCTGGGGCATCCCCTCTCCCCAGTTTCACTGAGAGTACAACACAATACATACATTTTGGGGGTCATCAGTGGTACATCCCCCCCAAAAGCCAACCAAATTGATCCTTCTTAATTAGCAGTATGCCTAGGTTTTCAATATAGGAATGAGAAAGCTCATCACTTTGCAATATTGGCATAGTATGTACTAAAATGCTGGTGCTGAGTTGTAGCTACAGGGAGTCTGGATCCTAGGCTTTGTGGAGAAGAGCACATTTCCAAATCTGATTTCAGTAACTTAAATCAGGCTTAAAGTGTCTTGGAACCTCAAACAAATGATACTTAGATTATTCAAAACCTAGAATATTAAATAGTAGGCTATTTTCTAGATAATGGTGATAGTTGCAAATCTTTGAGTTTAGGCCTCCATGTACAAATAAGTCTATCTTGAATTAGGTGTAACAGGTGTGGATAATAGCAGATTCTAAATGGTTCTTTGAGGAAGTTGGGGGGACAGAGCTCAAAGATAGCTGACTTCTTTATTTGAAATGGATCCTATGCCTTCTCCAAAATGATAATTTACATGTATCTTTTTTAGGAGAGTTCTTTAATAGGTAAAACCACAGTGAATGTTGTCTTAAAAACTTAATGCATAATAGAAATATTCCCATGTACTGGATATATGATCCCTAGATGTAGGACTTTGTGGCTGAGATTATTTTTGATTGAAACACTTTTTCTCTATACTTTGCCACTACCTGTGTTCAACCCTTAGATATAGTCAGTTTTCTCTTGTTATATGATGTTGGACTAGCTAACTTAGTATCCCATGAAGTCTTGACCATGGCCCACTTTGTGAACATCACCTGAAACATACAAATGCAGATTTTCCATGCCCAGAAATCTTATGTTAAAATAGGACACAAGATTCTGTATGTAAACCATCTCGTGGTTTTCATGTACACCAAAAATTGAGAACTATTAGACTGAATGCAGGTCATCCTGAGAAGAGTAAATCAGGGAGTAGACTGCATATCATTTTTTTCCAATTGAATTTGCATGTTTTTAGTCATCATTTTCAGAGAAATTTTGTGAAGCTAATTGGGCATATGCTACAGCCCCTGTTTTTCAGGTGACAAACCTCATTGAGAGAATTTATAACTGACTTGCTGGAGGACTTTTGGTGTCAGCCTTGGGCCTGAAAATGCAAGTTTAATGATACCTCCTTTTTTTTTTTTCTTTTTGGCTTATTAGACCAGGCTGCCTCGGGTGTCACAACCAAGTTATCCATCAACTCATTATTACAAGTACCCGAGGCCACTCCCATAGGCATCATACACCAAAATACCAGAGTTGGAAAAAAGAGAGTTCTTGAGAATGGTGTGTACTTGCCACCTCTTTCTTGGATTCTCAGTCCTTCTTTTCACATGTACTGCTTTAGCAGATTTGACATCAGTGGTTTTTCCTCATGAAAGTGATTTTGCCTGGGAATATGATCCAGTATATCTTATTTCAGAATTTCTTTACACAGAATTGGTGGAGGAACTATGGAAGGGCCAGGGGATTCAAGATCTCCTTCCTTTCCTTACCTGTAACACTATCCTTAATCTACTCCAAACCAGTTTTCATCTTTCAATGATTTTTTTTTCTTTGCTTGTACCTAGCACATAGGTGTTCTCCAAGAACATTTTCTCTTAGGCTCTTCCATTGTTTGAAGGAGACACTGATGTACTGCTTTTCTCACATCTCTCTGTTTATCACCCAAAAGACCCTTGAGCTCTCTGACTATTCTAAAAACTGTCCATTGGATACAATTCAATCTGGAGGTTTGCCTGTGCAAAAACTAATTTCACAGGTTGCTTGCACTAGGACACCAAGAATGGTAACATCTTTCTCATCCTCATTCCTTTAGAGGCAATTTCTAAGTTCTGGTGGATCCTGCCTTATAAATTTCTCGGCATTGCCTGAGACTGGATCCTAATCTTTTTTTTTTTTTTTTTTTTTCATAGAGGCATGTTTTATTTATTTATTTTGTTTGTTTGTTTGTTTTGTTTATACATGCACTGGGTACAGTCAGAAGCGCGGGAGGGTGAGAGAATTCACCAGAGCCAGAGCAGGGAGCAGAGCAGGCAGAAGGACCGAAGTACACTGCTGAGGGGAGCAGTGGGCGGCAGGAGAGGTCTGCGCGCCATGTGGGATCCTCCACCGGTGGCCGGGAAGCAGCCGGGGATCGAACCGGCACCGCAGAGGCCGTGGGCAGCTTCGCAACCCAGCGCTCAACCGCTGCGCCACCGGGGAGGCCCTGGATCCTAATCTTTTGGGCTAAATTGTACAAGAGCCTTCTCATCATTACTGAGGCTTTTATACCTCCATCAGCATAACGCTTTTTCTAGCTGCTTAGTCCATTCAGCTTTAATCCTTATAGATACCTCTGTGCTTCCCAAAATAAAATAAAACCATACTAACCACTTTTTCCACAAAACTTTCTTAGATCTGTTAAAGCATTTGCAGGGTATTTTGGTTGTGTCCTTTCACATGTACAATTCCATTGTCTGCGGGGCAGGTATTGCTTAGTCCACTTTTAAAGCCCCCTGTGGTGTGTAGTATAGGGCACATGTAGGATCTTGGAAATAAAGTCTAATGAATGAAAAGCTGTTTTGGATCTTTGATCCAGTTCCAACTAGGGGTATATGGAAGCCCCTGAAGAGTCTTGGGTACCAGCAGGGTGTCTAAGAATCCAAACAGTTCCTGACATTACATAGATAGGGTCAGATTCCACAGGTCCAGGGCTCAGTCTCCCCAGACCATCCTCCATCTCAAATGCTGACTGTAAATCCAGCCTCCCACCTGGGCTTCCAACCCATAGGCTCAGATTGGAGTCTTCGTGGACTTCAGTAGTCACTTGTAAACTGAGATTGTATCTGTTTCTCACCAACTGGCTATAAATCAGAGATTCCAGGACACCCTCCCTAGATTTGATTAATTTGCCAAATAGCAACAGAACTCAGAAAATCGGTTCACTCACTAGATCACCATTTATTATAAAGGCTATAACTTGGGAACAGCAAGATGGAAGTGATGTACAGGGCAAAGTAGGGGAGAAAGCTCCCATACTTGAGCTTTCATATCCTCTGCAGGTGTACCATTCTCTTCCCAAATTGCTAAAAACCCTCCTTTTAAGTTTTTATGGAAGGTTCATTACATGGCACAATTGAGTAACTCATTCACCATTAGCAGTTGAACTCAAATCTCCAGCCCCTCTCCCCTTCCAACATTCATCACATGGCTGGTTCCCCTGGCAACCAGTCCTCATCCTTGGGTGCTTTCCAAAAAGTCACCTCATTAACATAGCAGAAAATACCTTTATCACTCTGTATTTAGGAAATTCCAAGGCTTTTGGGGTGGGTTGTAACCAGGAAGACCAAATATATATGAGAAATATATTTTCGTCATCTAAGTGATCAAACGCATGTATTTCCTATAAATCACGATATCACATATGCCCTGTGAGACTTTTTTGATTAGAGATGATTACAGAAATGAGGTCTCTGGGTATTATCTGCATTCCTCAGGGAAGAATGCTTGAAAACCTTCACAAGCAGATTGTTAGCTAGTCTGTTTTTTAATGACTTAAAAACCTTTAGTGATGACTTTTTCTCCTACCTAACACCTCAGCTAGCAAGAAGATAGGTGCACTCTGTCCTTGTTCTCACTAGAGAACAGCTGGTAAGTAACTCAGGTCAATGATCCTGGGTCTTTATTTTTCTGTGCCAGTTTTTCCAAAGCTCACCATGCATATGAACCCATGGGGCTTAGTAGGGTGGGAAGGTGGTTGGAGGTTGGTGGTTGAAACAAACATGTCTTCTGGGAAGGAGGAGGGATTGGTAAGTATCTGAATTTTTTTTGTGTGTAATGAACAAGTGGAGGTCAATAGGAAATGAGAAAGGGAGGATGGAAAAGAGTGCTGAAAGGCTTTGAAAATGATTTTTATTCATTTTTTAAAAGTTTTATTGAGGTAACATTGGTTTATAACATCTAAGTTTCAGGTGTACATATAGTTGACCTCATTAATCCGTTTTACACACCCCTAACCTCCTTCTGGTAACTACCAATCTGTATCAAAGAATTTGTTTTGTTTTGATATTTGTTTACTCTGCTGCCTTATATTCCTTCCGCATGTGAGTGACATCATATAGCATCATGGCATCAAGGTCCACCCATATTATTGTAAATGTCAAGATTTCATCTTCTTCACAACTGAAGAGTTACTCCATTGTGTGTATGTGTATGTTCCTCACACCTTTTTAATCTATCAAATCAAAATGAGTTTTAAACAGATGTGATAGTTTTTTGCTGACTTGTTTGCACAGAATCAGAGACCCACTCAAAACTAGCATGTATGAAATGGTTTTCTTGTAAGGACATAAGTGAACTGGGATATACTATAGTTAGGAAACTCACAACTAGACCTGAAAATTGCCTTCTCTTTGACCCCAGGACACATGTTTTGGTTTCTCTGCGTGTGCTTCCATTCTTTCTTG